GGGAGAAAGGAGGAACCAATCCAATGGTCTAGATAGAACCTCCTCCCAGGGGGACAGACAATAGAAAAGTGGGTGAAGGGAGACATCAGTCAGTGTGAGACATGGAAAACTAATAATTTATGAATTATCAAGGGTTCATGATGGAGGGAAAAATGAGGAGCTGGTAGTAAGGCCTCAAGCAGAAAGAAAATGTTTTGAAAATGATGATGGCAACAAAGGTACAAATGTGCTTGAAACAATGGATATATGTATGGATTGTGATAAAAGTTGTATGAGTCCCCAATAAAATGTTAGCAAAAAAAGAAAGAAAATTGGCTTTTGAATTTAGAATCTGTTAAAGAAGAATTAGAACAGAAATCTTATTGAGCTGAAGCTCAGACAGCGTGATGGATCCATCTCTCCCTGGATCTGAACTTCCCACGTTAGATCTCCTAGACCTGCAATGATGGGAACTGTTATTCTGATCTGGTTTTCTCTTCCATGGGCAGTATGACTTGTCTTTGTAACTCTCTACCTGCTTTTCACTCTTTTGGTTTAATTTTTCTTTCTTTAGCACTGAAAATATACTGAATTGGGTAAGAGCAGAATATTATCATCAGAGAGTAATTCCATCCAAAGAATCTTTCATTCTCTTTAACTCTGTGGGGTTTCCAATGGCAGCTGCCCTTTACCCTGATGCTAATAAACATTGCTGTAGCCTCGTGGAATGATGTGGACATGCGGAAAGAGAAGTGTAAAACCTCATTCATGAAAGCCCTGTTTATATTTTCATTTTCAATTCAAATGTGTTTGAAATGCCGGAGGTAGGTCTCTACTATATTTCAAAACACAGATAGCTTTTTGTAGGAAATTACAGTGTCAGTCTGAAGTCACAGAAAATGGCCCTTTTAATTTAAGTTCCCAAGCAGATGGACTGACGCAGTGGCTGAAACAGTGGTGCAAACTTAATCGTTAGGACGGAGCCGTGCGCTGCTCTCTTGTACACGGGCCTCTGTGAGTCAGAGTCGTGGGGTCCTCAGCACCTCACAACAACAGTGAAAGACTATTAAGCTTACGGTGGTTTTCTTTCAGATCAACTATAATTAAAATTCATATCTTCTCCACAGCTAATATACTTTGGTTTCCAGGTTTCCTCTTTTCTGTGCTGACCTAAAAAGACTGGCATCCGCTAAGTCCCTACCCTGTCCCATGGCACCTGAGCCTTTTTTAATTTTAATAAAGCTTTAGTCAAACATTTGATTTTGATCGAGAATACATGTGAACAGGCCAGTATAACTCACTCTGGTATGCAGGGAGATATCCCTGTTTAATGACAACCTTCTCCCACACTGCGGCTAGACTGAAGCTCCCAGCCACAGGTCCCTAAGCAGCAAGGCTGCTTCCACACGCTGAGCTGGCATGCCAGGTGAGGTTACTTTTGGCCTCCTTGCCTCCCTTACACTATCTGAAAAGATGGACTATTTATTATTAATCCCAGTGTTTATCCAGTCTTAACTGTTTTCTGAAGGTGATATGACTCAGGAAGACCAGGTTTCTTCGGGATGTTTACTTTCTTTTATTCCATGTGGATTTCCTCACCAAGTCAAACTAACATGCCTAATATTATTATTTAAGACTGGAAAAGTAGTGATATTTGATAAACATTTGAAGTCTTCTTAGTTAGGTCAGCCCAAAGTCACGTCTAAAAGCAACCCAAGCTTTAATAGATAGCAGTGGTTGAGCGCTGGGCTGTCGTCTGCACGGGCAACATCACCAGGAGCTCTGCGGGAGAAAGACTGGACCTTCTACCCCCGTAAACAGTTACAGTCTCAGCAACACACGGGGTCACAATGAGTCAGCACTGACTCGAATATGTATATATTCTATTACTAGTCAGAGTGACCCTATAGGACAGGGTAGAAATGTCCCTGTGCGCACTTCTCATCTTTTTCATGTGGAACAGCTGGTGGTTTTGAACTGCTGACCTTGAGATTAGCAGTCCAATGTGGAACTACTCTCTCTCCATATATATATACATACAAACATACACACATATGTGTGCATATATACATATATTTAAATTATAAAATGATTTGGTTCTTAATTAGTGCAAAACAGTATTTGTTACAAAATGGATGAAAATTGCAATATAAATCCATCGTAAATGAATAGTCTAACTTAAATTTTTTCATGCTAAGTGAAACTATTTTGTTCTAGAAAGTGTCAAAGCAACTACTGATTCAAAGGATGAAATGCATGATTATCTCTTCATAATCTTAATGCTCTATGATGAAAGGAAATATAAAACATCAGAATTTTATAGGTTAAGATCAAAGGCAGTTAAAATATTGGTGAGCATTTTAGCATTTCAACTCAAACTTTCAGTTCATAAACAGGATTAGGTTCAATCCTCTTTTCTGCCCCTGAGCATTGCTGGCTAAATGGAGAAGAACGAGAATAGAAAGTTGTATAAGGTAGCTCAGAGAGTATTTCCATTTGTAAAGAATAGTATGTTAGGAGATTTTTATATTATTTCTGATGTATAACCCAGGTATTTATATTCCTGAACTTTAATGGTTGAGAAACTTCTGCAAGGCCATACTCCAACTATCCAATTTTGGACATATATGCAAATTTTGCCTCCAAATGGGTTAGTCACATATCATTTTCTAGGAGTTAAAAGAAAATAGGTATGCCTGGTGATGAAAATACTTGCCATTTTAATTGGTGGCCAGTAACATTAAGGTTTAGGGGAATCTTTCAATGCTTACTCTTTTTATCACCATTATATTCAAAATTTATGCTGACAGAGCTTTCTGGCACATTTGAAGATGACTATGTATTTTCATCTCAAATATTGCGAATGCCTGGGCCTTGCTTTATTTTTATGTTGCATATTTTCCAAAGGGAAATAAAATTATTTATTTTCCTTACACAGGTTGCTTCAATTAGTTCTTATTTCTCTATGTAAACTCATAATTCTTGCCTCGGGCAGAAAAATGTGTGGATGAGCCTCTGTCAACTAACCACAAGCACCAGGTATGAAGAAGTAAGACGCCGAGCAATCGCCGCTCTGGCCCCTCTGGAACACAGCACGCTGCGCTCTAACATGCACATGGGAGCAGTGAGCATCTTCCTATTATCTTAATAGGAAGAAAGGAAATATTAGTAATAAAGGTCACCTACATGGAAAATAGGAGTGTTGCAGAGGTTTTAAAAAAATCTCCTTCCCCAAAGACTCCCCAGCTGTGAAGCACTGGAGAGGTGGATGAATAATGAGAAGAACTGATACAAGGGGTTCTAGGAAATGCAGGGATGGGGGTGGGCGATATGGAGGGAAAGGGGACTTGGGGAGTAAACAAGGAAGGTCATGGTGAGTGTACAATTCTCCTTGATATGATTGAACTCTTGACTTGTATGATATGTAAGTTATATGCCAATTGAAAAACAAGAATCTGAATTCTGATCACTTTTTACAGGATAGGAGTCTGGCTGGAGGGTTTCCTTGACTGTGCATCAAAATCTTCATGATTCTGGGACTTGTAGAACCAGTTTGCTCCCATTTTTAGATGGGGTTCCATTTGTTTTGTACTATGGTTTCCGAGCCAGAGAGTCACAAGTTCCTGATCCCTGGTTTGTTGAGGAAATCGTTTCCTCCATGCTGTTGTGTTTCCTTACACACTTGGAGACTGGTGCAGAGTACTTACCGGGTTGAGGACCACCGTGAAGAATAGTTCACCTCCTTGGATACTCTTATCCAACTCCTTAGGGCCTCCTGGGTATTCTTTGTAGAAAATCGTGTGAGTGAAAAGCCCACAGGTTTGTCGTGGGAGTACCTGAGGAAAAATCAATACACAAGGAGAAAATTTTCTTTCAACCAATTAATTTGTTGAATCTGAGCTCTCCCTTTTCTCCTGCAAGATGATGCAGAAGCTGGTGTCATGATTCAAGTCTAAATAAGGCTCAGAAAATCCTCCACACTTGAGAAAGCAAGGATGACATCAGTACAGATGGAATATTTGAGAGAGTTGGAGAAAAATTTTAAAAATAAGATAGGCTTGGGATTATTTTAGTGGGTTAGCTATTTTAAATCTCATAGCTAGTACTTATGAAGTCTGATTCATGCATCTTAAGCAATTAGAAAATAAATAAGAAATAAAAATGATACCTTAAAATATTTCAATTATCTTTGCTACCTAGTAATTCTCGTCAGTACAATTTTTAATAATACTTTCTGTCATATTCCACACATGTACCAGAACATGAAGTTAATTATTAACTTAATATGCTATTTAGGAAATGACATTTTTAATTAGAAATAATATTTCAGACGCAAATCTTAGTATCTTGCATACATCATGGTAACTATTGCAGGCTGTAGTTAGTATCCTAAATTCCAAGTCTGAAGCCTGCCAGTTCCAAAATTAATAGAGTACGCATTTACCTAATTTTAAAAATAAGTCAAAAATTTCAATGATCCATATATCTGGTAAGGACTTTTAAAAGATTCTTACTGCTCTGGTAAAATATTAGGACACGTAAAAGAAGGGAACCCAGGGTTGCGCTTTGGACCACTAACCACAAGGTCAATAGTTGGAAACCACCCCCTACTCCAAGGGAGAAAGATGAGGCATTCTACTCCCCTAAAGAGGAATAGTCTCAGAAACACATGGGGCAGTGTGACCCTGTCCTATAGGGTCACTATGAGTCAGAATCGACTCGATGGCTGTGAGAGTGTGCTTATCAAAGAAGCTGTGAACTAAAGCTGTCCAAGATTGTATAGTCCTTCGGCTAAATCTTACATATGGACTTTATTACATGACCCTTTGTCACTATACACTTGAAGGAAGAGAAAACTAATCAATACCCTTTGGGAAAGGAGTACTGGTGGCACTGTGGGCTAGGGATGGGCTGCTAGTCTCATGGTTGGCAGTTCAAACCCACCAGCCACTCTGCAAGAGAAAGAGGAAGCTGTTGGTTCCCATTAATATTTATAGCCTTGAAAACCCTATATAGTGTCTCTAGGAGCCACAATGGATTCATTGGCTGTGAATATATGTTGGAAAAGTACAGGTTTTACATATTCTTACAGAGGCAGACCTACTGCTTACGGTCCTAAGGAAAATGATCTTTATATTTTCTGTTTTGATTCTTAAAGCATATGGTTAAATTTGGTTTAGTAAGTGCTTTACAAATATTGCCTATTCAGGACTACCAGTTTTTATCACCCTCCATAAATAAATTGTATCTATTGTCCCTTAATGCAAATGCATTCTAATAACCCTTAATCTAATTCTTGGACTGATTTCTTAGACAATCTTATTCTTTGGTCTATCAATAGGGCATGGATTTCTGTACAAATGAACGTCTATATATTCTATTTGCTTGGGTAAATTGGGAAGAGTTGTTAGTGAATATATATAAGACTACTTCACCTTGATGAAATGGTTATAAAGTCTTCCATTTAATGCATAAACAATTAGTTCAGTGATATCTATGCTTAAAAGCATTTTAAAACTCATTGCTATCAAGTTGATTTTGACTCCTGGTGACTCCGTAATTGTCAGAGGAGAACTATGCCCTAAAGGGTATTCACTATCCAAGGTACCGACGTGTCGATTGAACAACCAAACTTCTGAGTAGCAGGCAGGCACATAGAGTCTTTGTACCACCAAGGAATTCTCATAATACTACTCACAGAATCAACCACAAAGAATAGATGCAAAGGTAATTTTAACTGAATCACATATGTTCACAAACAATTCTTAGAAACACCACATCCTGGAAATTCAAAACTTTCTATATAGCATGTATCCATTTACTCAGCCAATACTTACTCTAAGACTCTATGATAGTCTATGTGGGAAAAAGTGAAATCTATGTTTTATATTCTGGAAGAATTTATCATATATTGGGAGTAAAGAGAAATAGCCAAAAGCTACATAACAACGTGCCCACATGGGAGGAAATGCTAGGCTAGCATTACTAAAAGCATCTGACTCTGAATTACTTTTGGGATTAATTTGAATATCTTACTTGGAAAACGATGAGATCTTGGGGATATTGATGATGATGATAATGCAATCACCCCGGGGTGGGGGTGATTGACAATGCTGTATTTCTTTGCTTCAAAGGTTTTTTGCTTTTCTGCTTGCAGTTTGCTTTTTTGGCTGTTTTTCTTTTCTTTTCTTTTTCATTTGGGTGTGTGTGTTCTGTTTGTTGGGTTGCTGGTTGGCTTATGGCTGCTATTGACGCAGTTGATCTTATAGGGTTGTGATTTTGTCACAAAGTAAACCTGAGATGTGCAAACCCATGGACAAGTAGATGGAGTCTGGACTCCTATTTAACTCTAGCCCCCATTCAAGAATAGTTGTTTTTGGTAACATGTCCCTGCTCAATACCCACCTTCATGAAAGGATCACTGAATATAAGGGTGCTTATAGCAAAGGGTGAAGAAAGTAGATGGTGCCTGGCTATCAATTGGAATAGTCTCAGGGGTCTTATATTCAAACAAGCAGCCATATAAGCGAGGAGCCAACTAAGTCCACACAGAAGCATACCAGCTTGTGTGATCCAAAGATAACAATAACAAAATTCAAATATGGCTAAGGGAAAAGTATCAGAGCTAAAATTATGAACCCCCAATTTGTAGAAGGCTATGGAGGACAGTGGGAGCCCAAATCCCATCTGCAGAGCATCTGGTCAGACTGAGCCTTGGGCAGATCCACTCTAGCCACAGGCAAGTCTCAAACAACCTTACTATCAGGCAGGGAGCACTGTAATCTTGAATATGCTGACGGGAACTTCATACTTGACCAGATGCCCTCCCTCTCGATGAGACTGAATTGGTTCTGGGTGCAAGTATCTCTTACTTGTTCATGACAGAAACTTCTTTCCTGGCTATTTGAATGTTGCTGGGGGTCTCTTCTTTCTTAATCATGATTTGTGTTTTGGTCTTTCAAGTGAACCCTCGCCACTTCACGCTTCGACTTCTGAGGCTTCACTCTATCGCGGTTTTTGCGTAACAGCGCATGCTCTGACATTACTGCCACTGATTGGCTCATACTGTACACGCTTGATGCCATAAATAATATAACAAATAATAAATGATAATTGTAACGTCCAAAATGTTTTACTGTGTTTTCCCTTTTTCGTTTAATAAATTGGGTAATACGAGTGTAATGGTGACGAAAGGGTGTTCTTTCATGTCCTCTATGCTCTAACTACGAAAATATTTTATTTACAAATAAGGAATCCTACTTCGCGGAATTTCATTTATCACGGTAGGGTCTAGAACCGATTAACCGTGATAAACGAGGGTTCACTGTATATTGTCATTGTTTTATCCTTACCACCTTAGTGTGATTTATTTTTATTGTTTCTGCTGGGTTTTGCAGTTTGGAGCCATAGTGACAATAAGTGATCTTAGGGTTGACAGGGGACACTGGGTGGGTGGTGGGTGGTAGGGAGCGAAAGGAGGTTTCAGGAAAAAAAATGAAGGCGGGGGAGGAAGGAGCACTAGAAATGTGTTTGCACAACTCATTTTAAAGGCGACAACCATGGGGGGTGGTTCTAAAACTGACAAGGTCATGATTGCACAATTCTCCTTGATATGACTGAATAATTGAACTATTTGTTTATGATATGTAAATTATGTGCCAATAAAACTTATGAAAATAAATAAATGATAAACAAATAAGAAAATTATGAGATACTTGAAGGCCTATCCTTTGTATTCAGTTGCTTATTTGATTCTGTGCAAAATGGAGAAACAAGTAAAATGAAATTTGGGTTTTGTCAAGAGTTCAAATCACTTGCATTTCAACTGAGTAAATAGGAAGCGTCAGAATTTACTCTGACATTCCAGGAAGGACCACACTTTCTGAGCGTCTGAGATGACCACGAGCCCCAGGAATGCTAGTGGACCAGCTCAAGAAGATTAAAGAGAGAGTCACCCGTGGAGAAATGACTGGATTTGACTGGCTTGCTTCCTGAGTGCAACATCACAGGCTTTAGAAAACGCTCCTTGAACCAACTCTGTTGTTTATCAGAAGGCATGAGAGAGTCTTTTTTTAAAGCATTCTGCTATGAACTCTCTTCTATAACTGGTTCTGGAAGTCTTAAAGAAACTCAAAACCTGCCCCGTTGGGTGGCAAAATCCCTCATTGAAAGAGATCTGTGCAGAAGGGTGCTTGTGCAGGTCAATGACGCTAGTGGAGTTTCTCACCATTATCAATTTCCATTTTCCATTATGGCACCTCTGAGAAGAGAGAGCAAGACCTCGTGGATATTGTGAAGAAGAATTTTGACCTCC